TGTGACAGACGGCTCTCCATTCCCAATCCCTCTAAAGCCGCCAGCATTTTCAGGGAGTCCCCACACTCACGAGGTTGTCCACAAGTGTCTAAAAAGTGAGCCGCAGCAACTGCACATGGAAGTGACTGCCACTCTGGGTTTCCCCACCCATTCCTGGGTCTCTCGGCTGGGACTGCCACATTCCATGGTGAGCAGGTTCACGCAAACCTACCCTCAAAAGCTGAGAGGCTGAAGAAAGAGGCTGACAAATCCAGTTCCTCAGAAAATAAACATTTAATAGGAATTTGCAAACAGAAGCGATGTTTCGATCCCCACACCTGTCCTCCAGAAAGTACTGTTTATAGAGCAAGCTTTTCTGGTAAAACATGTGCAGCCGTCACATCTCAGACTTTCTTGCAAAATTCATGACTGCTGGAGAAGTCAGGTGAGCATCTTTATGAGGGTTTATCTATGCTACAGGCATTGGGTACAGACCTTGGTGCAGGAGTCAACCATTGGCCATTATGACAATTTTGCCTGAAGATGACACCACTCTTGCCGTGCAACAGGCTATCTTCCTACAGTGTAAAGGGTATACCTCTGGATACAATGTGTAATCCTTCCTCCTTGCTTACATTGTTTTTCTGTCCATCTAAACTTGCTAAGGATTCTTTTTTTTTTTTTTTTTTGAGACGGAGTCTCGCTCTGTCGCCTAGGCTGGAGTGCAGTGGCCGGATCTCAGCTCACTGCAAGCTCCGCCTCCCGGGTTCACGCCATTCTCCTGCCCCAGCCTCCGGAGTAGCTGGGACTACAGGGCCCGCCACCTCGCCCGGCTAGTTTTTTTTGTATTTTTTTAGTAGAGACGGGGTTTCACCGGGTTAGCCAGGATGGTCTCGATCTCCTGACCTCGTGATCCGCCCGTCTCGGCCTCCCAAAGTGCTGGGATTACAGGCTTGAGCCACCGCGCCCGGCCTCTAAGGATTCTTTCATGCTCCTGCCAAAAATAGTCCTAGAGAGAGCTTAATAGACACTAAGTCTCGGCTTTGGAAGTGGTGTTAAGGGAATGTGTTCAGTGCTGGAATTATGTGTGACACATATTCTCCCTTTTTCAAATTTGCATTTTCTAGAATTACGTTGATTTTAAAATTAAAAAAATGTAAAGTGGGCAAGCCACATTTGAAATCTGGACTGCAACCCTCTCAGGGGCTTCTGTGCAGCATGTGATGTCACCACCTCAGTGCTGCAGTCCTTGGTGGGCCCCAGCCCCTGCATGAGGTGAGAAGGGATCACAGGACAGTTGAGGCAGCACCAGAGTGGGCAGGGGTGGGGGTGGGCACCAGTTCTCACTTGTTCACTGATGTAAGCCTGTTACAGGACCAACAGGTTTGTATGCTGGCTGCACAGTAAAGGCCAATGACACTGAGACAGCAGGGATGCAGCCGAGAGTTTAATTATTGCAGGGCACCAAGTGAGGAGATGGGAGGAGACCCTCAAATCCATCTGGGGCTTTTAAGGGGATCATGGAGGGTGAGGGGCTGGAAAATTGAGGGGATGACATCACCAGGATGTGGAAACTGCATTCTTTGGTGTGGTCAGCTCCTCGTGGGGTTCTTCGGACCAGCTCAGTCAGTAGTCTGAGGTATGCAGGACCTGAAGGCGTATCTCAAAGGGAAAACTTCACATTTCATAACGTTCAACTTGTTATCTATAGACCAGTTGAAGGGAACTGTAATCTAGGGTCTATGTGACTCCAGGACACAGGCACAGACGCCTACGTGGAAGCACGTCAGGGGGAAGGCTGACCGAATGATGAACGCTGAATGTGCTGCAAGCTTCGTTTACTTTCATTTCTCCCCTCTTCTTCCCTGATTAATTTGATAAAGTTTATAGGGGCAGTTTCAAGCCCTTTTACAAATACCATTCGGAGTCCTATGCAGCAGCTAGGGCAATGAGTGTGTGGCAGGGGCCACACGGCCGCTGCTGGGAGAAAGGCATGGACCTTTCACGGCGGAAGTTTGGGGGTCAGTACTGAGACTGCCAATCCCAGCAGACAGAATGAGTGTCTTTTCCCTCCACCCTCCCCTCCTTTTTCGTTTCTCTTCTCCTATCTCCAATTTCTGTTTTGCGATTGTGAAGGCCCAGTTTTTGGTAATTATGATATTAAGTACTTATCTAAATAATTAAGGGTCTTTTGAGAAACATAATTAGTCTACTAAGACTTTTTTTTTTTTTTTTTTTTTTAAAGAAAAGCCAGGCACTCACGCCTGTAATCCCAGCACTTTGGGAGGCCGAGGTGGGTGGATCACGAGGTCAGGAGATCAAGACCATCCTGCCTAACACAGTGAAACCCTGTCTCTACTAAAAATGCAAAAAATTAGCCAGGTGTGGTGGCGGGTGCCTGTAATATCAGCTTCTCGGGAGGCTGAGGCAGGAGAATGGCGTGAACCCGGGAGGCAGAGCTTGCAGTGAGCTGAGATCCGGCCACTGCACTCCAGCCTGGGCAACAGAGCGAGACTCCATCTCAAAAAAAAAGAGGGCTTTCCTATCATCTTCCACATGCCCCAGCCCCCACTGAACAGAGGCCTCTCAGGCTCATGGAGTCAGTAAATATATGGCCTAGGCTTTCTCCATCATATGGACTTGGTATTTGTTCCCTGAGAAACACATTTCCGATGACATCACCAAGGTCAAAAGAAAGAAACAAATTGTGGTTGACAGAAATTTCAAGACTCTTTCTCTTTGGAAACATGACGACGTAATGAAATTAAAATTCCCTAGGCTTCGGATGAAGTACCCCAACACATGTCAAGTCTGGCTGGACGCTGGGCAGCACCAGGGACCAGGAGGAGCTGGTCATTTACTTGTCCTAGGCAGCTCCTTCCTGTGGCCCCTGCACAGTCCACTGCATCCATCAGTGTGGCCTACCCTGTGCCTCAGCTGCAGTGGGTCTCCTGGTGGCCGTCTCCCAATGGCACTGAGGTGAGGGGAAGGGTGGACTTGCAGGAACAAATGGAGTCAGAAGGGAGCAGACACAGTCAGGAATGCAGAGTCTTCTCCACACAGCAGTGATCATATTCAGATGCAAGTAAGGTCATCCTCCTCTGCTCAGAACCCTCCAGGATCTCCCCTTCTCACACAGAGTAAAAGCCAAAATCTTGGTCATGGCCACAGACCTTCATGACACACCCCAGCACCTCTCTCCCTTGCTCACTCCACTCCTAGCCATGCTGCCCTGCAACACTCCAGGTCTCAGGCCTGGTGTCCCATTAACTATTCTCTCTGCCTGATACTTGAATATCCTTTTATTTTCATCTGAAACTCTCTCATGTGCTTTGAGTCACTGCTCAAATGTCATCTCAGTGAGACCTTCCCCATTTAAAACCAAACCCCTCCTGGACCCCACATGGGCCCCGATCCCTCCATTTTCATGCTGCTTTCCAGCAATCATCACCCCACACAGACCTCGACGCCCCCCTGCTTTTGTGCTGTTTTCCAGCAATCATCACCATTAGGTCATTTTCTCTTCCCACTGGCACGTAAACTCTACAAGGCAGGCACTTATGCCTCTCTTGTTCCTGTTGTATCCTTGCACCTTGGCACCTCATGCCTGGCAGATAGAAAGCATTCAACAAGTATTTACTGGAACAATGAGTAACCAAATCCAGGCTAGAAAGGGAGAAACATGAGGCCAGAGAGGAGCCTGACTGAGGAGGCACATGTCAGCAGATTGGCCAGCATGATGTTGAAAGACTGGGCAGGCCAGTTAGGAGGGTAACAGGGCCATGCTGCTGTTGAAATTCTGGGTGTTGCCTTGGGAAAAAGCGCTGTGGTGGAGGTGATGGTGAGACCTGGGGTCAGGGGAGTGTGTGCAGTCAACAGTCCCTGTGGGTGGGGTGCCGGCCTCTGAGGTGAGCACAGGCTGAGGCCTGTGGGACTGACCTTCCCAATCTCAAGTCGACACTTCCACACTTTCTTCTCTCTTCAAATTTCTCACAACCTCTCCCTCCCCATTTGCAATTGAGGTCTTTGCCTCCTGCATCCTTGAAACCATCCCATGAAACCTACAAACTGAGTACATTTGCCCCATTTTTCTTCTTTCTTCTTGGAAATACAGGAGGTATCTGTCTATCCAAGACTAACCCCTTGACCTCTAGGGGATCTTTGTTCCTTCTCCCTCCCTCTCAGCTCCACCAGCCCCCACCTTTGCTCTCCTTGACTGTGCAGACCTTCCAGTCACCCTCACACGCCACCCAGCCTCTGTCCCTCTGTCACCCTCGCACGCCACCGAGCCTCTGTCCCTCTGTCACATCGAGATGGGCCCTGGCAGGACCACCAGCCCTTTCCCTGAAGCCAAGTCTCAACTTCCTCCTCCTGTGTCTGATGCGACGGCTCCTCTCCTGGTCAGCTCTGTCTCTTCCCTTCAGGCGCCTTTGTTGCTTTTCTTATCCACCGGAATGTTCAAAGCTGGGGAATCTTAGGCCCCTGTCCCGAGTCCTCTTTCTAATGATTTTCCCAGGGTAACTCATGCTTTCCCAAAGATGCATATCTCATTTAAGAAAAATGCTAATGACCCCCAAATTCACATTTCCATCCCAAATCTGTCTTTAAGCTCCAGATTAATAGTTAACTGAGATCTCAACTTCTCTTGTATCTCACGGACACCTCAAGCTTAACATGCCCAAAAGAGAAATCTTGATTTCCACCCACTGGCACTGGCCTGCGGGCCGAGACCCACACCCTGCCGTCCTAGAGGTGACTGAACTGGGTTACCCGCCTGAGGCTGGCCCTGTCAGACTTTCTCCTAGAGACCATGAGCTGAGGACACAGCAACTTTCACAGACTGGTTCTGTCCCCAGACGTGTGAGGACAAGTGAACTGGGGAGCAGACTGTGAGGCAGCCATTTCCTTGCCACACCTAAAGAGAAAAGAATGAAATGGACGCGGAGGAACAAAGAGCTTGCAGCTGTTCCTGACGGCACTCACCTCCTGTTCCCCATGACAAGAAATGCCCTTCTAACTTATGCTAGTCCAGTGGATGTCTTTATTTGCTACCAAACAAACATGAAGACACCTGCTACTTACATGTGTCTTTTCTGGGTGAACTGAGATAATGTGGACTAGTTCCCAAACGCTTCCTGTCTGGATTTTGACTGGGGATGCACTGAATTCGCAGATCAATTTAGGAAAATTTTCATCTTCATGATATTGAGTCTATGGACAAACAAGATAGACTTCAGTATTTATTCATGTCGTTCTTTTCCTAATGTCCCTCTGAAGAATTTCATGGCTTAAAAAGGGAGCTCACTTACCTATAAAAAAAGAAAATCAACAAGGTTGAGGGAAACCACTAATACGGAACACAACAGAAACAAATACAATGAATTGTTACATGTGAATAACATAGCCACCATGAAGGAGAAAAAAACCAAGACAAAACAAAGACTCAAGTATCTTTTTTATGAAGTATTTTGACTACAGAGCCTCAAATCAAAGTGCAAAAGCCAGTAGACAGATATTGGACCATCAACAGTTTGTTGTTACACAGTGGTTACGGATTAGCAATTCAAAAATTACTTTTAGTATATTCCAAGATTGAGAAAATCTACTGTGTAAAAATACTGAGAATAATAGGGATCATATTTTTGTTTTAAAAAAAGGGGGTGTTGGGGGCTACAAGTATGGAGAGAAGGAAGGCTAGACTGAACCCTGTGGTACTGGACTGGAATTCGTGGCACTGGAATAAATTCATGGTTTTAAATACATTGATGGCTATTGAAATTGATACAAGATGGTGTGTTTACATAGAAACACACACATTTATTTCCTAGCTCTCTGCTGAGAAGCCCCAGAAGCAGTGACACCCTCATGACAGTGAGCACACCTAACACCCAGATCTTGTTTTCTAAAAACTATTCTCCACAGAAAGGTACCAGACTCCTGGGAAAAGAACTTATTCCACAGCTGGGCCTTTACCATGGGGAAGCCTGGCAGTCACAGTCTTAACCAAGTGATAAAGATCACATCACGTGAAAGGGACCACAAAACCGATCATGGACCTCCTGATATGACACACCAAGGACACATCTCTTCCGTGGTTCCCGGCAAAATCATCAGGAAACACTGGACAAACCCAAGGTAAAGAACAGTCTACAGAGTAACTGCCTCATGCTCTTCAAAGATGGCAACATTTATCTTTGAAAGACAAGAGACTGGCTGGGTGCAGTAGCTCATGCCTGTAGTCCCAGCAATTTGGGAGGCTGAGGTGGGAGGATCACTTAAGGTCCAGAGTTTGAGACCAGCCTGGACAACTTGGTGAAACCTTGTCTCTACTGAAAATCACCAAAAAAAAAAAAAAAAAAAAAAAAATTAGTGGGTGCCTGTAGTCCCAGCTACTTGGGAGGCTGAGGCATGAGAATTGCTTGAACCTGAGAGGTAGAGGTTGCAGTGAGCCGAGATCATGCCACTGCACTCCTGCCTGGGCAACAGAGCAAGACTCTGTTTGAAAAAAAGAAAAAAGAGACTAAAGAAGTACTCCAGATGGAAGGACATGACAACTACATATGGGTGATCTCAGACTGGGTCCTCAGCCAGGAATATATATATATATATATATTTTTAAATTTCTATAGGCTAGGTGCAGTGGCTCACGCCTATAATCCCAGCATTTTGGGAGACCAAGGCGGGTGGATCACCTGAGGTCAGGAGTTTGAGACCAGCCTGACCAACATGGAGAAACTCTGTCTCTACTAATAAAAATACAAATTAGCTGGACGTGGTGGTGCATGCCTGCAATCCCAGCCACTTGGGAGGCTGAGAGAGGAGAATCACTTGAACTCAGGAGGCGGAGGTTGCAGTGAGCCAAGATTGCACCATTGCACTCCAGCCTGGGCAACCAGAGGAAAACTCTGTCTCAAAAATAAATAAATAAATAAATAAATTCTACAAAGGGCATTACCAGGACAACTGGCAAAACATTAACAAGGTTTATAGATTAGAGCATGTCACCAACACTCACTTTCTGGCCAGGCACAATGGCTCACGTCTATAATCCTAGCACTTTGGCTGGATCACTTGAGGCCAGGAGTTCAAGACGAGCCTGGGCAACACAGGAAGACCCCATCTTTACAAAAAACAAAAGTAACCTGCCGGGGGTGATGGCACATACCTGTGGTCCCAGCTATTTGGGAGGCTGCGGTGACAGGACTGCTTGACCCCAGGAGGTTGAGGCTACAGTGTGCTGTGATTACACCACTGCACTCCAACCTGGGTGAGCAAGACCCGGCCTCAGAAAAACCCAATTCATTTTCCAACAAATATTATGGTCGTGAAAGAGAACATCCTTGTTCTTAGGAAGCACATGCTGATGTATTTAGGGGTGAGGTGCATCACATCTGCAACTTAGTCTCAGGACAAACGTGTATCCACAGTGAGGGAGATGATGATGATGACACAGCAAATGTGGCAAAATGCTAACTGGGGAATTTGAGTGAAGATATTTGGGTGTTCTTTGTGGTGCTCGTAATACTTTTGTGTGTGAAATTATTTCACAATTTAAAAACTACAAAAATGTAGCTTATAGTGGACATATAAGGGCATTTATGACTATTCAAAATCTCCTAAAATCTCATGTTTTAGAAGCTCCCTGCAACCTTTCCAACACAGAAGCCACCATCTACACTTCCTGGCCTCCTTGCTGCTTGTGGAGAACAAGAATTGGTTTGGGTGGTCAGATCTGTCCGCACAAGACTCTTAAGGCAGAGTTAAATAGGAAAACCAGACTTCTGCATGCTCACCTACGTCACAGCAGAGCCGTGGGGTTCCTAAGTAGTCAGCAGTTCCCTTGTCAGGGGAGTTCCACGGGATGGTTCTGGATTATTTCCCGGAAGCTTGGACTCCAGTCTATTTCTTCAGCTCTCTTAGTGCTTCTGTGAGATACTAATTTTCAGTTAATGTTAGTAATGCCGAGCAGAGATTGCCAAGGACTAGGTACAGTTTAAAATACTTTACATGGCCAGGCGTGGTGGCTCACACCTATAATCCCAGCACTTTGGGAGGCTGAGGCAGGTGGATCATGAGGTCAAGCGATCGAGACCAGCCTGGCCAACATGGTAAAATCCTGTCTCTACTATAAATACAAAAATTAGCTGGGCGTGGTGGCGGGTGCCTGTAGTCCCAGCTACTTGGGAGGCTGAGGCACGAGAATCGCTTGAACCCAGGAGGTGGAGGTTGCAGTGAGCTGAGATCGCGCCACTGCACTCCAGCCTGGGTGACATAGCAAAACTCCGTCTCAAAAAATAAAATAAAAATAATAAAATAAAATACTTTACACATACCATTTCAATCTTCACAAAACTCTTAACTGCAGTAAGAACTCAGGTCAACACTTAGGTCTTGCATCTCTCCAGAGGGCGTACAGTGTGTTGGGGAGTGGTAAGGAGGATGAAGGTTCTGGGGCTGTGGGAACTGTGCAGGAATCACCCATCTGCACACAGTCAGCCACTCCACAGTACAGACTAGTCCCTTGGTCACAAAACACATTTCAACTCCTGCAAGAACTCTTGAGTCCTGAGAGTCAACTGAGGTCACAGGGAGCATCCCAAGGCAGGATGTGCAAACTTTCCTACCAAGGACCAGAAAGAAATACTTTGGCTTTGTGCACCATATGGAATCCACCACCAGTGCTCGATTCTGTGGTGCAGAAGCTGCCACAGCTCTCTGTAAACAAATGGGCACAGCCGTGTTCCAACAAAACTTTTATCTACTAAGACAGGTCAGGGCTAGGTTTTTCATGAAACTGTGTCCTGACACCCTCAGACCCACTGGCTAGCAGGTAGGGGCTGCTCAGCATCTGGGCTTTCTCCTTGTTCAGGGAACAGGAGCACGGCTCTGAGAACTAAGGATGGGGGTGAGTGAGCTGGGTCCTCAAGGCAGGGCACTTACTAGGTGGAAAAAACAGCTTGCAAGCTCTTGGGCATGAAAATGAGGTGCATGGAGAGAGCTTCCTCTGTGGCCCAGAAGCCAGAAGCTGGAACAGCCACATGGAACTGTGCAGCAGCCCAGAACAGGATATGGGGGCCTGAGTCACAGCAGACCAGCGAGAGGAGAAAGCTGACCTCAGATTGCAGATCTGTATAAAGAAAAGTGGGGTGGCAGGGGAGCCTTGGGTTCAAGTTTTGGAACAGGAGGGACAAAGAAGGGCAGGGAATTGGTGATGAGTAGGTACCACTTCTGGGGAAGATGACAAAGCAATCAGACCTGGAAAACTTGACTTACTTAAAATATCAATTACAGCCAGTGACAAAGAATTCACCCCACACAATGAATTACCAACCAAAAAAACTACTATGGTTATCTCAAACCAAATGTCACTTTACTTTTTTGGTAACTTTTGATTACAATAATAAACTCTATTCACGAATATGTAGCCTCCATAATCTTCTCCCTTGTAACAAACGTGCAGTCTGTTCACAAGCTGTAAAAGCAAACCCAAACTCAAGACATGACAAGAGGCAAGAGCAGTGGCAGTGAGAAGGGAGCCCGTAAAGGATGTTTCAAAGGAGGGTCCCAGGCTATGTGGCCACTGGATGTGGGGCAGTGAGCTGAGTGCAGGCTTTCGGTCTGGGAAGTGGCAGAGGCTGAGACAATGGCCAAAGAGGAGTTGGAGAGGAAACTATGCTCAATTTCACTCCTGCCAGCCCAACAAGCTACTCCCTGGTGTGAATCAACTGGTGTTTGATCAACTTTGATCGCTGGCTGAAGGCTTTCCCACAAGCAGCACAGTCGTAGGGCTTCACCCCAGTGTGGATCCTCTGGTGCTGGATGAGGACGGAACGCTGGCTGAAGGCTTTCCCACACTCACTGCATTTGTAGGGGCGCTCGCCAGTGTGGATTATCTGATGCTGAATGAGGTGTGAGCTCTGGCTGAAGCCTTTACCGCATTCAACGCAGGTGTAGGGTTTTTCCCCAGTATGAACTTTCTGGTGGTGAATGAGATTGGAGCTTCGGTTGAAGGCTTTGCCACACTGGCTACACTCATGGGGCTTCAGCCCATTATGAATCCTCTGATGCTGAATGAGGGTTGAGCTCTGGCTGAAGGTTTTTCCACATTCAGTACATTCATAGGGCTTCTCTCCAGTGTGGACTCGCTGGTGAAGGATGAGGTTGGAGCTGCGACCAAAGGTCTTCCCACACTCGTGGCACTCATAAGGCTTGTCACCTGTGTGCACACCCTGGTGTTGAATGAGGGCTGAGCTGTGGCTGAAGGCCTTCCCACAGACACTGCATCTGTACGGCTTCTCTCCTGTGTGGATGATCTGGTGCTTCCGGAGCACTGAGCTGTAACTAAAGGCTTTTCCGCACACGGTACACACGTGAGGCTTTTCTCCAGTGTGAATTCTCCGGTGCTGAATAAGGCTGGAGCTCTGACTGAATGCTTTCCCGCAGTCGCTGCACTTATAGGGCTTCTCTCCAGTGTGAACCCTGTGGTGCTTAATGAGGTTGGAGACCCGACTGAAGGGCTTGCCACAATCATTACACTCGTAAGGCTTCTCTCCAGTGTGGACCCTCTGATGCTTCCTCAGGTGTGCGCTCTGGCTGAAGGCTTTCCCGCACTCGCCACACTCAAAAGGCTTCTCTCCTGTGTGAGTCCTGTGGTGTTTGATGAGGTTTGAACTTCGCCTGAAGGCCTTCCCACACTCACTGCACACATACGGCTTCTCCCCAGAATGGATTCTTTGATGTTGGATGAGGTTTGAGCTCCGCCTAAAAGCCTTCCCACATTCATTGCATTCATAGGGCTTCTCACTCATATGAGACTTTTGGTGCTTTTTAAGGCTCGAGTTCTGGCTGAAGGCTTTTCCACATTCGTTACACATATAAGGCCTCTCACTGCTGTGGTGACTCTGATGCCTAGAAAAGTCTGAGCACCCTCGGAAGGCTTTCCCACATTCGCTGCACTGGCAGGCTTTCTCATTCATATGAGATCGATGACAGCTTTTAAGAACTGAGTTCTGGCTGAAGGTTTTCCCACAACCATCGCACATAAAGGAAGCCTCTCCAATGTGGAATATTTGATGCTGAATAAGGTCAGGATTTCCTTGGAAGGTTTTCCCACACTCATTACATATGAGTGGACTTTCAGCTGTGGGAACCCCCTCGTGACCAGTTAGGTCCACGCAGTCCTGGAAACTTTGGCCATCCATGTCATACGGATGTGGCCTCTCTTCTGTAGGGATTTCCTGACATGCCATCAGGTTTGGGCTCAGACTGAAGCAACTGTCAAAACCATTACAGGCCAGATCTTTCTCCTCTAAGGCGTCCCTAAGGAGCCCCAGGGCCGCTGGTGTGAAGTCCCCCTCCTGGGAGAGGGACTGTGGCAGCCTCCTGCCTTCAGAGACTCCCCAGTCTCCTTCTGATGCATCATCACACAGATCTCCAAGCTCGGGCACCTGGGAAACGTCACCAGCACAGTTTTCTGATATTCCTGCCTGTGATTCCATATCTTCATGAATGTCTTCCTTGTACAGAAACTCCTTGTCTTCAGTCCTGGTGTCACAATCTGAAACAACACATAGAGTATCACTTGGAAGGCAGTGCTGCAGCAGGAGCAGGAATGCAGACAGCCAGAGCTGCACCCACTAACTGTGGAGGAGGCAAGGGGAGCGGGGACCCTCCAGGGTGACAGTCCAGATTAGAGGGCATCAGGGAGGAGTGCTGGGTGACCAGGCTGCATGGGGCTGCAGATGAGTACCACTGACCTGCCCTCCCCGCGACTCCACATCTCAGCAAACGTTACTGCAGTCTGCCTTCTGGCTCAGGCCAAAATCCTGGGTGCCCCTTGACTCCTCTCTTCTTCAACACCCACACCAAACCACTGGCAAGTCCTGTCGGCTCTACCTTGGAATGCAACCCAAATCCAGGTGCTTCTCACCTCTCCCACCTGTACCAGAAAAACATCTCACACCACTCCTCACACTGTTACATATTTTACCCTTTTTTCTCTCCACACTGCCAGGTGTGAGCCTTACCAGCCTATCTCCAGTTCTCTCAGTGCACACTAATGGCACTGAGCTTGGTCTTAGGAGACACTAGAGAGAGACCCCATTGCACACAGAGAAGAAACCCAGCTGGCTCTCACAGCCTGGCAAGTCGAGTTGCATGGAGGCATCATTCAACCACTCCGGTGTGGCAGGGACCTGTGTGGAACGTCAGATTCCATCCTGTTCAACAGAGGACCCTTTAGAGACTACTGTGTCCTGTCAAAGCCACCTGTACCTCTGAAAACCTGCAATTCTGACTGGTGTTTGCTGGATGACTTCTGGCCCAGTAACAATGTGCATCATCGTTCTGCAGACAGAAATGTACACACAGCTCCATGTCTGCCAGAAAAGGCTTCAGCATCTCCCTCTCCCCTCTTCATACCTGCAGAACAAAGAAACCCTCACGTCCCCGGGTCCCTTACTCAAATGAAAACGTCGAGAGTCTCTCATTCAAACTGACAAGCCAGGCCACACTGCCACCTGGATGCTGAGCGGCTTCCCCGGCCCCCAACCTCCCTTCCTGCCCACAGCCTGGTGACATCAGACCTAGCACCATCATGCACTCAAACTTCCTCTCAGTGCCTCCTGGGCCTGTGTGGCCCAGGCCCTCCTAGACCCCACCTCTACCTCTGCTCCTGCTATTCTCTGAGCAGGGCAGATGTGTCCACCTTTGGGTCTGCTCTGCCCAGAGCACGCTCCACATGGCCCTTGTGCTACCCACTTCCCTTGCACAGGCCTCGCTAGAGAGCCCTTCCCTGATCATAAATGCCACCACCCCACCTACTTTCCTCGCCCCCACCCTGGCTGTCACCCACAGCCTGGATCACTCCCTGACACAGGGCTGCATCCCCCAAAGTAGAGGACCTCTGGTCTGGCTGTAGTCCGTAGTGCTGAGCGGGTGTGAAGGATGCCCCTCCCTGCGGCATCCACCCTGCTCCCTCCCTGCCTCTCCCTGTCTGGGACTTCTAGAATCTGCCATAACAGCATTCCATTTCCACCTCCAGTCTGGAACTGTCTGTTCCCAAGGAGCTGTGGTGTCAATGCAGACCCAATTTGGCCCAGCCCTCACCATGACCCTCCTGGGACTTGCCCCTCTGCCCACTGCACCCATGTGTCTCCTGGTGACACTTCATGTTGGGTCACCTGACACCTGAGGTGCAGACACGTCGTGCTGTGCCGCTTTCAGCCAGAACACGCGCTTGCAGCTCCCTGCTTCCTGGAGTCTGGGATCAGGCCTCTCCTCTCCTACAGAGCTGCCCTACGTGCCAGCACACAGATGTGGGTGCCTTTCTTTACCACCCTGCTGTCCCTTGGCAGGCCTGCTGTTATACACTGCACATGGGCTGCAGGGGCTCCCCCATGTCCCCCACGAGCTTCAGCTCTCCATGTCAGAAGCCCCAGCCGTGGCTCCAGGGGGTGTCTGGGAAACGTGGCATCTACATGCTGCTGGGCTCCCAGGAACAATGAGGAATGGGGGCTGCTGGGACAGGTGAGGTCTGGACAGAAGTCTTCAGCCCTGACAGGGATGTCCTGGGACTCGCTGTCCAGCTATCCTCCGCCCCTGCCAAGACCCTGACTTGGGAGACCCTTGCCCTCTTCTGGCTGTGTGGAGAAGTGACCCAAGGAAGGACGAAGGCGGCTGTGGAAACAACAGACAGGAGTCAGGAAGGTATTTCTGTGAAGGGTCAGAGAGGAGCTGTGTCAGGTGTTACGGCTCTATGATCTCTGTCATATGGTCTTCCTTGTTCCTGAGGTTAAAAAACACCTCAAAACCATTTTTAGTTTGCAGGACATAAAAACCAGCCCACTAGCTGGATTTGGTGACCTCTGGCTGAGATGAGATGTCACTGGTGTGGAACAGGAGATGGTGATTATGAGGAACAGGTTGTCTAGCCTGAGCCACTGTTTACATAGATCAAAGTCTTTTATTGAGACAGGAACTAAAGGTGAATTCTGTACGTGAGAATGGTGAGAGATCACTCTTTGGGCTGACTAAATTCAATGTAATTCTTCTCTGTAATACAAGAACTGTGGGGAAAATGAGTTCCTCTACAGAAAGGAAATGTAAAATAAAAAAATTTCATTTTCCTTTTAGAAATTTTTTTTTTTTTTTTGGTGAGACAGAGTTTGGCTCTTATAGCCCAGGCAGAAGTGCAATGGCACCATCTCAGCTCATTGCAACCTCTGCCTCCCGGGTTCAAGTGATTCTTGAACCTCAGCCTCCCACGTAGCTGGAATTACAGGGATACACCACCACGCCCAGCTAAATTTGTTTGTATTTTTAGTACACACGGGTTTTCTGCACGTTGGTCAGGCTGGTCTTGAACTCCTGACCTCAGGTGATCTGCCTGCCTTAGCGTCCCAAAGTGCTGGGATTACAGTTGTGAGCCATCGTGCCTGGCCAAAGAAAATCTTTTTAAAAAGTCAGTAAACTTTGGGGTTAAAGGTGAAGAAAAAGATTTGAAAGCAAATACAGTTGCTTGCACTTTACTCTTGACACCCAACTGGAGAAAAGGACAAGGGCTCTGAGCCCTTCCAGAACAAAACATACCTTTTGTGAAGAGAAAACATCTTTACGATTAAAGGCTTTTACGATGAGTGGGATAATTACCCGAGTCATAAACCATGTCTGTGTGGGTGCCGTGCGTGGCTGTGATGAACCATGCCTGTGTGGGTGCTGTGTGTGGCTGCTGTGCATGGCTGGGATAAACCACGCCTGTGCAGGCACGTGAGGCTGTGACAGACCACACCCGCGTGGGCGCCGTGCGTGGCTGTGACAAACCACGCCCGCGTGGGCGCCGTGCGTGGCTGTGACAAACCACGCCCGCGTGGGCGCCGTGCGTGGCTGTGACAAACCACGCCCGCGTGTAGGCTCCGTGGTGGCTGTGACAAACCACGCCCGCGTGGCGCCGTGAGTGGCCTGACAAACCACGCCGCGTGGCGCCGTGGGTGGCTGTGACAAACCACTGGTGGCTGTGACAAACCACGCCCGCGTGGGCGCCGTGGGTGGCTGTGATAAATCACGCCCGCGTGGGCGCCATGTGTGGCTGTGATAAACCACGCCTGTGTGGGTGCCGTGTGTAGCTGTGATGCGCCAGTGGCTGCACCACATCCTCCCTCAGTGCCTTGGCTGGGTTGTGTGTTGAACAATCCCCAGAGGCACCTCACACACAGATGGGGGGCTCCTTACTTCTTCATCTCCTACAGCAAGTTGTTTTCATTTGATTTAAAAATTTACTGGAGTGAAATTAACATAATATAAAATCATTCTAAAACGAACAATTCGGTGGCATATAGTACACCTACAATGTTATGCAACCACTACCTCTATTTTCAAAACATTCCCATCACTCCAAAGTAAAACCTGTTACCCATTAAGCAGTTTATCCCCATCTTCCTCTCCCTCCAGCCCCTGGCAACCACCAATCTGTATTGTCTCTACGAATTTACCTATTCTGGATATTTCATACAAATGGAATTACATAGTATGTGACCTTTTGCGTCTGGCTTCTTTCACTTCGCACGTTTTAGAGGTTCATCTGCGTGTAGCATGTACAGTACTTTCTTTTCGTGGCTAAATTATACTCATTTGCATGTAGACACCACAATTAATCATTGACAGACATTTGGGCTGTTTCTACCTTTCGGCTATCATGAATACTACTGCGGTGAACATAATACACATGCACTTGTTTGAGTATGTGTCTTCAATTATTTTGAGTATGTATCTAGGAGTAGTACCATGTTCAAACTTTTGAGGAACCACCAAATTATTTTTCAGAGTAGTTGTGCCATTTTACATTTCCGCCAGCAATGTATGAGGATACCAATTTCTCCACATTCTCTTGAATATCCTTTATCTTTTGGTTTTTTAATTACAGACATCCTAGTGAATGTAAAATAGTAAGCTCATTATGGTTTTGATCTGCATTTCTCTAATGACTAACGATATTAAGCACCTTTTCTTTTGCTAATTAGCCATTCATATAGTTCTTTGGAGAAATGTCTATTCAAGTTCTTTGCCTTTTATTTATTTATTTATTTATGAGACGGAGTCTTGCTCTGCCACCCAGGCTGGAGTGCAGTGGCATGATCTCGGCTCACTGCAACCTCCGCCTCCCAAATAGCTGGGATTACGTGTGCATGCCACCACTCCCGGCTAAGTTCTGTATTTTTAGTAGAGACAGTGTTTCACCATGTTGGTCAGGATGGCCTTGAACTCCTGACCTCAAGTGATCCACCCGACTCGGCCTCCTGAAGTGCTGGGATTACAGGTGTGAGCCACCATTCTCAGGCCGTTTTTAAATTGGGTTGTGTTTTGTTGTTGATTTGTAAGACTTCTTTATATATTCTACATACTACACCCTTATCAAAAATATCATTTGCAGATTTCCTCCCATTCTGCAGGATGCTTTTTTCACTTTCTTTCCTTTTTTTTTTTTCTTTTTTTTTTTTTTTGAGACAGAGTCTTGCTCTGTCACCCAGGCTGGAGTACACTGGTGCGACCTTGGCTTACTGC